CATAGCTCTAAAAAGAGCGTGCACGACAGTTCATTGGGTGAGACGAAAGAGGTAAACTTGAGACGCACTTGAGAAAATATCAGGGGTACTAGGTATAAAATTTCCTTCGGGCTTCCATTTTGCAGTAGTCGCCTAACAGTCACTATATCATTAGAGCAGGCCAGATTGCTATTTTACCGGTATGAGCGTCTGAGTTCTTAGCTCCTCGAAAATTAATCACCGAATTACCAGGAATAAAGAACATTATACAGACAATTTCATTTAGAAGACAATCGTCTACATGAAACGGTCTTAAAATCAACACGTTCAACGCTCGCTAATTAGCCAACAAGAAACTAATTTACGTGATCACAAAAGAGCAAATTCAACACTGACCAGTAGGAGACAAAGTCCACTAACTCTACACTCTTATAGAAGAAATCCAATAAATACAATGCACTCATTTTTAATATAAGAATAACACAGGATTAAGGAGTAAACACATGCAAAGATAAATGCGTAGAAGTTTGTAGGTGCTGAACACTGAACGTAAATTAATTATCGATCGATGTAGAAGTGAGCCAATAATTGAAATGTAAACTTCCCTAGATACTTTGTAAAAAATTCTCGATATGAGTTAGTGAATGTAAAAGAGCATTAAAAGTAACTCATTACACGTAAGTTCACAGCGTTCATGGAATGTCTTCACTCACTTTCATTAACATAACAAATATATAATAACAATAATGGCCTTCTGTGCTTCATCATATGTCTCGGTTATTCGCGTTTTGTTCAATTCGCGAATCAAAAATAATCAACAAATAATATTCATTACGGTACTGAATAATATTATTTTTTCATTATTCATTACTAGATAATATTGATTGAAATTTTAATAGTTATCCTATAAGTAGAATATAACGAATTCTTTACATTGAGTCTTGCAGAATAACATGGATGACAAAATTCCATGTCTTCATAGTGGAATGAATGCAACTGATGTGACCGCGGTGACAGTTGCCTGAGATGAGCGAGTCAAATATTCACAGACCTGAGCAGCTGCAGGCCAGCAATAAATTATAACAGGCTATCGTCCGTGACACAATGACAAGCGTGGTGCACGTTTGTCTGGCTGTGCTTCTACACAAGTATGGATGACAAAATTCCATGTCTTCATAGTGGAATGAATGCAACTGATGTGACCGCGGTGACAGTTGCCTGAGATGGGCGAGTCAAATATTCACAGACCTGAGCAGCTGCAGGCCAGCAATAAATTATAACAAGCTATCGTCCGTGACACAATGACATGCGTGGTGCACGTTTGTCTGGCTGTGCTTCTACACAAGTATGGTCAGAAAAATACATGCGCACAAATGTAGGAGAGCTTACTATAAAAAAATTACGGGTAAACTTTTGGTGATTAAACGTCAGCCGACAACGGCAAGATTCAATAGGATTAGCTATGACTGAAGACAAGTGACTTAGGAACGAAGCCTTGACAACAGGACAAACTGGGCTAATATTCACGGGAGAAATGCGAGGAATGGGACGCTTCGGGAATATAATTGTGGTCATCGAAAATAATCCCTAACACGAATTCTATATAAACTTGAATAACAATAAATATTCTAAAGCCCAGTTAGCAAAAAAAAAATATCGAACTGAAAACATTGAACCAGCCTTGTCATAAGGAATTGCAAAATCGGCAATGGCAAGTTTCAACTTTCTAAACTAAATGTAAAAATTCTGGAAACGAGTTCAATTGCGAGATTTTTATTTGCCACGTAGGCCTCAACAAGCGTCGGACCCTCAACCACGACGCGTCTAATGAATAGTTCTACGCAACGGTAACATCACAAACATCGTCAACACTCAACAAGGAACAAACACCACGCGGAATTCATAAGTACAACTAAGAAACTAGCGACTTCATCTAATAAGTTTAATATATTTATGTTTAAAAAACATCACTTTCTACGGTGGGTGACTCGAAGGACAGAGCGTTACGAATTATTTCCGTGATTTTCGTTTCTCTTCGAGACATTATTTTTCAACTGAAAAATTCAGATCCGTAAAGAGCTTACACCTAAAGTTTATTAAATGAACATTTGTGCATTTATATCCAAATCAAATTCAGCTTCTGAAAATATAAGAGGGTTTTGTTGAGTACCGTATTTCAAAATATTGTCGTAAAATAAGAATAACAATAATTAATTTTCACTAAGAAATCATCACTGTATTACAGTAAGATAAATGGGGCCAGGAGTGGCAGGTTGATACGACGAGGTCGGAATTCATCCAGGCAACGAGCGGATGAAATTCCGGCACTAACTGCCAATACCGGCAATGTCTTATTCACTTAATCATTATAATAGTATCATCTTGATGTATCATAGGCAGATGCAATTATTGAAATGCCTCTATTAATGATTAAAATATAGTGCAACACAACCGATTTGATAAAATATTCTCATAATATAAGTTTTTTTAACGAATCCAAATTCGGATAAAAAGAATTTCAAGACCCGATTTCACCGATCGAGAAAAAATATCTAAGAATCAGAACTATAAACTATATAGAGTATGTGATATGAAGAAGAAAACGAAATGGATGCACAATTCAGCAACAATATGGGCAAGATTATTGGAATTTAAGCGTTGTATCTAATCATATCTATTTTGATATACATGATAATATTCAACAACATTTAAATAAATAATAGAAAGAAATATTCACAAATATTGAAGTTATTTTCAATATGTATTGCCACAGTAGATTCAACAGAAAAAATCGTGCGTTAATTCCAGTATTTAAACCTGGTCCCGACACTAAAATTTGATTCTCTGTACCGAGTGCAGGCGTCGGCAGGAGTTGCTGCTTCACAACCAAAGCATTTATGGCAAATGTCCAATTTGCATGGAATAAATCAGGCTTTTTGGGTCGTGGGGGCAAGAATTTTCTGGCTTACAATATGAAGTTAATTACATATTTCCTCTTAGACTAATGAATGTAGTGACCAATGATGGGTTTTCGAGCATAATTTTTAAGTAGCCAAATAAAAGGAATACGAAATTCATCAAAAAATATGAATACAAAAGAAATACGAAACAAAACAATTTCACCGATAATTGTTTTGTTATAGATAGATTATGAGTGGACAGTCGAGAAGCAATGGTCGATATGAGTAATTCTCTCAATAAGAAAACACGGATACCCGAGTTACGATGTAAAGATAATAAGCAATATTTCAAGAGCTTCAATGAGGCACAGGTCAAGCAGAGAAGTAGCCAGAATATTTACGGCGTAACATCATCAGGCCACGAATCTTCACGAAAATTCAAGATCACGAATCGTCACCCGAAGAATAAACTCAAAGTTTCTCCATGTTCACCTTGAGTCAAAGCAGCTACACGAGGATGAAACTTAATGAGTAATCTTTGGAGATACAATTTCACCGATAATTGTATTGATCAAACGAAAACACCATAAATAGATTATGAGTGGACAGTCGAGAAGCAATGGTCGATATGAGTAATTCTCCCAATAAAGAAACACGGACGCCCGAGTTACGATGTAAAGATAATTAGCAATATTTCAAGAGCTGTCAAGCAGAGAGGTAGCCAGAATATTTACGGCGTAACATCATCAGGCCACGAATCTTCACGAAAATTCAAGATCACGAATCGTCACCCGAAGAATAAACTCAAGGTTTCTCCATGTTCACCTTGAGTCAAAGCAGCTACACGAGGATGCAACTTAATGAGTAATCTTTGGAGAAGAGTACTTACGTCGTTGATGGATCATGAGTGGTGTATTCGATAGCCAGCTTGAGACAATGACACTCACTGTATTTCCCCATGAGTAATAATGTTTATAAATCGATGCGTGAAAAATTCAAAGAGAGTTTTTTAATCATGAAAGTTTAATATTAATTTTTTTGTAGGAGTTTTCGTTACCTCATTCGATGATTAAAGATGAAGTTTCATAACAGGATACAATTTTTCAAATAATTTGTGGTGCTCGCGAATCTTGGTCAACAAAATTTCTCTGGATAAAGTTCAGTTGGCGATTGCTGCAAGCCAAGTAATACATTCAATTTAATAATAATCGAATAACTTTTACATTTCTATTCATTAATTATCTACAAGACTGCACACCTGTTCCGACCCGATCATCTATTTTATAAACATGGCTATTTGGTTGTACCAAATCCAGTCTAAAGTCAATGTGAAAAAAACTAGACTTCAAGAGTAATAAAGTGTGTCAACATAACAGCTAAAATCCATACCACTCTAGTGAAAGTGACTAAGACCAAACAAATATTGGAATAACTTGAACATTGTCATTAATTGTACGAATAAAGTTTTGAGATATAATCACACTCAAATAAATAAAGAAACGTGGAAATATATACAACATATAGCATATCTATGAGTTCGCACTCTCTTCCTTATTAGTACATTCGAGTCTATATAAATATAATATAAAATGCCTTCGTCGAATGTCGCAAATGAGGGGAAACTTATGAAGAAATCCAATATTAAATGTAAGAGTAAATGCAAATGGTTTGAAGTTGACTCAAAATTTAGAACTGTAAAAAATTGGCGGAATTTCAGCCAGTGGATGCCACTTAACTAGATATGTTCGATGACCTAAAGATGCAACTTTCATCAGTCGCCACTATTCATGACGTTATTATCTCTAATTAGAGAAAATTTTTTGGTTTGAATATCTTTAAATGTAATTTAACGTAATTTAATAAATTTAATAAAGATAATGTAATTTAAAGATAACCAAACCAAAAAATTTTTTCTCACTGAATTTTTTCTCTATCACGATGAAGACAGATTCACTGGCAGGATAAGAACCAAAAGATTGACATCAACGTAACGTAATAAATAAGTCTTGTATGGAAAATTATTTATTCCCCAACAAGCGATACTTTTGTAAAAGTTTCTTGCACCGCCAACTATCCGACACATAAAAAAATTGGAATTGGGCATGGAATGCTTTGCGTTGCAAAAAAAGTTCAATGATATTACAGTGAGTATTTGCCATTATCGATATAGGTAGTATTTGCAGGTGCTGTTCGATAATTACAATGAACTATCAACATTCCGGGACATCAGACGTCGTCGGAGGATGTTTTGCACATAAATGTTTTGCGGAGAATGTTCTGCGTTAGAGTTCGTTGCAAAAATCAGGAGTATCTTTTCTCGACAGAAGTAAGCAACTAACAGAATTTTATATTTTTTAATACCGGGCACTATGATACTTTACGTCGAGAAAATTTGTTTTCTGTACAAAACGTATATTTCGAAACAAGATTTAGTGTCGTCTTCATTGCAACGCAATGAGACCGAGTCAGGTTGAGCGACCGACAAGAACCACCATCAGCCTATAACTTCAGTGCAAGATGGTTCACTAGCCATCGAATTACTGGATGCTATTCCCTAAAGAAATCTCCCTTAATCTTCCAAAAGTCAGAATACTTTTCTCATGCTGTGGCATTAATTATCCACATATGTACAGTTGTACACCAATGATAAGCCTTATAGAACATTGTGAAGGAGCCTATAGGCAGATTTAGCTGACAGTAGAAGCGAACTTGAGGAAAACTACAAGAAAAAATGAGTGCAATGCAATCCAAAGACCAAGAAGTGCTCAGTCTACGGAATAGAAGAATTCGATCGCAATGAAGCACAAAGTGAAGTTACATTTTGCACGATCTCCACACTGAAGCGCGGAGTGAAGATACGGTGTGTAGTATCTTTAAGCAAGGCTGCGAGGGATGCGATGCACAGTATGAGCAAGATAATCTCTATTAAAAAGTGGAACACTTTAAATTAGTTTACCGAACGACTATTCCTTTCCATTACAGCCCGGTTTTAGGCCGTTCATGTTTCACTTAGAATTTTCATGAGTGCAACATTCAAGTTAAAAAATCCCTCCTCGTTCTTCCGTTTACGGTGAGAAAATCTCCGTATTTTCAGAGCATTACTGATAAATACACTGCATGGAAAATAATTGTAGTAGGTAGCTTAAGGATTCGATTTTCTACTGCTTTCATTGCCTTCATTGGTTATTTTTACGGTGGAGCGGTCAAGGGCTGTAGTTTTGCCGGAACTTGCTTCGGGGTGCGAAGACTTCGCCACTTCTGTGATCTGCTTCTGAATTTTCTCCTTCTTCTGCAATATCATGAACAAACAATAAATAAATATTGTTAATAAATATGAATATCAATATTGTTTATTCATGAAAATGAATAAACAATAAGAAAACAATTAGAAATATAAGCAACATTTATGAAGAGAAGAAGTCGTGAGACAATCGCTCGACAACATTATAGCTCTTTCGTACGATTTCTTCTTTTGGAAAGCAGACATAAATAAAGATAATATAAATAAGTAGTATGTTTAAATTCATAAGATGTATAATTTTGCCCAAACAATAATAATAAATTACTTCGCACACGCATTTTTATTAATTAATGACCAGCAGGTTAGCCAGGCATTTACCGGAGTATATTATGGCTGAAATTTGAGCATCCGTCCACTCATCCCAAACCAACTTGAATATTTTTAAACTAAAATACATCAATTAAAGAAAGACCCGGCCATTTAAAATGAACTCCCACCTCATTTACCCTGAATTTCTACTTAATTCAAAAGTGAGCTATATGTTCTATGAGAAATTTTGGTTGTACGTATCATTTTTTAGCATACACAATTTTCATTGTTATCACAGTGATTCGAGATAACGGGATTTTAAAATTGCTGTAATTATAGATCGCAGACAACGCCTGGCTAACCTGCTAATGTTTAATAATTTGATCTGATGCTGAGGACCTGTTCGATCCCACATTTTATATCGAACAAAAAATTCCTCTTCAACTATCGTTTAAAAACTTGAAAAAACTATTTCGCGTCTTTTACGATAAATTCATATGTGCCGATTTGAAAATATAATATTAATTTTGAATACTTCAAATTCTTCTCAGTTTTGCAAAGTAGTACAATTCATTCTTTAAAAATACATTTTCAAATCCAGGCAGTATTCCGACACGACACGTATCTTAGATACGTGTCCAAACAGCCCCCTGCACTTAAAACAACAAACGCACACAAAACAAACAAACACACAAATTGCGAAATACATTAAATAGATAAAATTAGAAATAAATATTTAGGATAAAACTTACAAAATGAACGAGCAGGCGATAAAATGAAAACATTAAAGGATTAAAATTACTGGTATTGAATTGGTTTAATTTAGTCACAATGAACCTGCAGTGCTCCCAGCATCTACCTATATCAATAATGATATTATTATTATTATTAATAATTATTATTCGAGCGCTAGAGCCTAATTGTGTGTTAATAAAAGTGTGCATGCTTTTGTTTGGCATGGTTTCCATAGCTATTTATATTGATTTAAGTTACCAGCATTCAATGTAAGAATAAATTGGAAAATTAATTCTTCTTTTTGCACTAAGTTGCATGTCACTGCGCTTCAACGGTGAGATTTTTTGATCTGACGAAGGAGCTGATGTCGGTGGTGTTTTCATAGAAAATATGGTGACTTTACATGGCGTTTTCTTTTATTTTGAATAATAAGTGACCTTGCGATTTAAGCAGACCATTGTCAGAGTAATAACTGCTGATGAATTAGTTTACTTTGTCTGAAATTAGTTAAATGATATGCAGCTTCGGGATGCTCATTTCGAATTAAAATTTTTGGGGCGAAAATATTTTCGCGGCGTGCATATTTTTCTCCTCCAAAATTCACTTTATTTGATGATAGAGTTTCAGCATTGGAAGAAAGATTTATTATTGCAGCAATTCAGAAGATAAGCCCAGAAAATAAACAACAGCGGCCAGGAAAAACAGATAGCAAGGCAACCAAGTTAAGCAGATTTGACTCTAATTTCAAGACAGCTATTCATTCGATTGAATTTTTTTTAACTTACCAAACTAATTCCCGTCCACTGATCCAGACTCCTGACAATCGAATAGTTGCTATAAGGCAGCGAAACGTCGCCTCGCAAACCTCAAACTTGTCGCTTATTCTGAAGATAAATATAATAGTTGCAGTCATGCAAGGATACAACAGAACGCTAACAAAACATGCAGAGAACATGCAAGTTGTTTTGCATGCAGTTACTTTTCAGCATGTGATGCTTTAAAGTTTAAACAATAAATAAAACCGATCTACATTAACGGCAGCTATCAGCAACCTTAAATGACATAATTTTAAAGATGTAAAAAAATAATATTCATTTAAGGTCTAATATATTATTGCTAATTTTTTTAGAAAATGAATTTCTTGCAATCCGAGCAAATTAATGCTTCTATGGGCACATTATAATTAATGGTTAACAGCATTGTATTATTGAGCTACACGCCTACACTCTAGATTGTCGTTAATCGTCCTTCTCAGGAACTACGCTTCACTGTAATTGTGTTAATAATCAATACAGAAAGTGCTGTCAACAAGCAGATAACACGTAACTTTACAATAATTGATGTGCAATAATTATTACCTATCGCAAGAATTGATTTCTATAAAAACAACAAATGCCTTTATTGCGCCCTTGTTAATCATGTCTCCAAGATTGGATTAACTTCACGATTCGTTATTCACCATCTTACCAGGATGTGCACCTTGATTACATTAAGAAAAAGCGAGATCCCCTACACAATTGTAACAGTGGAGTACACATGCACTATTCTAATGTAAATAACATAGATCACTAACCATCATCTTTTCAAAAGTGAACAAATGTACGGTTAGAATTTGAATATCCTCACCAAGAAACTCCCCTCTTGTTAGATGTGAGTTCACATGCACGCTTACACAATAAAAAGTAATAACATCTCACCATCTTGCCAAATGTTTACACATGCGCGTTTACACAATAAAAAACAACAACATCTCACCATCTTGCCAGATGTTTACACATGCGCGTTTACACAATAAAAAACAACAACATCTCACANGCGGGGGGGAAAATCGAAAAATTTTCGAAAAATTTACGAAAAATGCTCCCACACCCACAAAAATGAGAAATCCTAAAAACCCTCGTGTTGCGTTTTAGATATGGTCTTTACGCATCGAATGATATGTGTCTCAATGTTGTAGCTTGTAAATCCTGGGAGGAGATAGATTTCTACGGTACCCCCTTTTTTGGCCGTTTTCTAAGAATTTTACGTTTTCTTCCATTTTTTGAAAAATTCACACGAACAAAAATGTCTTAGAATTCTATTTTACATATGTGTACCAAGTTTCAGAGTGATCCGTTTGTAAATAGCCGAGATAAATTTTACCCTAGACGCTCCCCTAATTAAGCAGGGGGACACGACTGGCACTGCAAGATCTCAGTCACTGGCGTCGTGGAGTGTTGCTGATGGTAGCCTTTGTAACGTTGGTCCAGCTTTCTGTAGGTTATTCACTGGATCCTCCTTGTGGTTAAGGGATTTTTCCTCACCGTTATTGTTTGTCTTCAGCGTACGTATTGTGATTGTTTTGACCCCACGGGCTGAGATCTTGCGTGGATCTCCAGATCGAGAGAGATTAGTAGTGGTCTTGTAGGTCTTCCATTTTCTGATTATTGCTCCTATAGTAGACTTCTTCACACCAAGCTGCTTGCCTCTTGCAGATTCAGTCTTCCCAGCCCGGGGCAGGTCTATAATTCGGTTTCTGATGTCCTCCGACAGCTCTTTCGTCTTCACCATAGTGGAGTTTCGAGTGTGACTATTTGAGGTTGTGGGCAGGTGCCTTTTATACTGTTAACGATTTCAAACAGGTTCCATTAATACAGGAAATGAGTGGGGGGAAATCTTGATTGTTTCTAGGTGACCAAGTACTTATTTTTCACCATCATTTGCAAATAACATCTTTATAAGTCCGACAAATGATTTTTTCACATTTCGTCTCTCATAGTTGAGGTCTACCTGTGATGTCATCATGTCAATTACAGGCCTCTCTCATCATTCAAAGCAGGAGAACGTGCACAAATGGTGATTGACTAACTACTTATTTTCCCCGCTGTATGTTTATAAATTAGTACTCGTGTTCACATGAGATTTACCTTTACCAACCCATTTGTTCATTAAATGAAGCGGAGTTGATTAATGAGATTTACTTCGAAAATAGAGCGGCCGTCGCTACGGATAGAATGAAAGTTCATAAGCAGATATGGTTCTAAGGCGCAGATGTGGTTCAACCTCAATTTGAGAAGAAGGTTCATAAGATCCAAGAAAATTAATTCAAATATTCTTGTTTACTTCTTCATCCTGATGAATTTCGAGCATCAATTCAGTGTAAGGATTCTTCAAATAATCATCGTCAGAAAAGCAGAACCTAACATTTCCATGCTAAATAATTTCAGCATCAATTCAGGTTTGAACAAAAACTCAGTCGCTATAATTGGTCGAGAATATCTCACGAATGAGAGCGAAGCTCATGGCGTGAGTCGAACTATTCACGTCAGCCTTCCGCTATAAACTTGATAACAATGGATCCCATAGATAATGAAATGGAGGATGGAAGGTTCGATATTACGAATGTGGTGAATGCATTGCAACGATGACCGCAAGTTTCTGGCAATCTTTGGCAAGCACAATGGAACAATGGATGCCCTTTGTAACGAGACTTTCGACAAGAATCATGCATTGATGCATACCTATAGTAAAAGGAAGAAGAATCGTCTATTGATGGGATAAGCGAATATGAAGGATTTATATTCGCAATAAAGCCTACATTAAAAATTCATTTTATGCTAGGTACTAAAATATTCTTGAATTTTATACGTTCTTGAAAGCTGTATTTGTATTTTCTATGCGTTATTAAAAACTGAAAATGTACTTTAAATACGTTCTTGAAAACTGAATTGGTACTTTATAAACGTTCTTGAAATTGTATTTGTAGTTTATATACATTCTTGAAAGCTGAATATGTACTTTATATACCCTCTTGAAAGCTGTATGTATTTAACAGAAGAAAAATGATCAGGTTGTTTGAAGTTAGGAGGCGCAGAAGTAGAAACGCGTCAATTATATGAATTAGCCCCTCATATTATTACCAATCCTACTCAGAATAAAATATTAAATACAAAATAAAATTAACAATGATCTCCACGATGTAGTTAACTTTATCAGTAATTCACGTACATGATACAACTTATCTCTTGATTATCTGTTGTATATTTCAGAAGTATCTTTGTGCACGTATTTTTGGGCTTGTTTGCTGGATTGTTTGAGGACGTCATTGACAACATATAGGGTCTATTCCAGCACATATTACCTGTCGCATATAGGAATATTACTTGAATCATAAATTGTACATTTAGTGAAGTAATTATGCGGAATTACTAAACAAGGGGCGAGTGTTGCTTGAATTAGCACAGAAATTTGGTATTTTCATTCATTCACCGTCAAAAAATTAATAATATTATTCAAATTGAAAAACTGGATTTAATTGAATTTCCATGTTGAATATTTGTTTGATCTAGTAGGGTGCAGTGCACCAACATTCCTTTATTTTGAAAATTATAAATTGGATTTCAGGTAACGGGATTCTTCAATCACAGGTATAGTATCAGTCTCGAGCACGTTTTGCTATGCAGGAGTACAACGACGGAAGCAAATTACAGTTCAACACTCGATCGGTTAGGCACTAAACTATTTTTCAATGTTGTTTCATTTATGCATGGTTGAAAAGAATATTCCTGAGTGCACATCTTTCACGGAACTTAGGGACCAGCGTTAGGCTTGACGTTAGACGAATCTCAAGGCTTGACGTTAGACGAATCTCAAGTGATCAACTATAAACTACATCGCGCAGGTATAGGTAATCATGATTGCAGGGCGCATGCTGGAAGTTGTGGATTGTCTTTCGTAGAGTTAGCATATAAATGCGTGCGATAAGTAAGATCACTATTATTTGCATGCGCAGGGCGGGTAGTCAGCAAATAGAGCATTATAAATTACGTAAGTGGAGATTGCAAATTTCCGCCAAGTTACTCTCGTATCATGAATAGCAGGACATTATTATGAATAGCCGGATAACATGAGCAAATAGGGTAAAAAGACGGACATTTTTTCACATATTTTAAAGGGTTAATAATAATTTGAGTTTAAAGACCAATTGATATGTTAAAAGACTATAAGTTGAAAGAAAAAACCGAAAACGTGTTTAAAAAGAAAATTTGAAAGAAGTTGGTGCAATTATCTCAAGTGCAAGTTATCAGTAAGAACGCGTTAACGAGACACGATTTCTACATAATATTAAACGCACGCCATCTCATACGCCTCGCACTCGCCGACGCGAGGGCAAGTTGAAGTACAGTGCAGGATTTGCCAGCTTCAGTAGTAATATTTAAGAGCACCAACAAATTAATGATTTCTGTTGAATAGAATGGAATTGAAGAAAATGATGAAATTCAATTTTTAACACAGCTGGTCAAGATAATTGCGGTTCGAAGTTTTTTCTTGGCAAATTGAAGTTAAGGGAAACTGATTTTGAGATTGAAACAATAGTTTAACGTTTTTTTATGAGAATTATGATGGTCAAACCGATACTCATACATTGCTCTGTGGACAATTTAGAACTTTTGACAGTATAAGCAGCAAATCTATCAAAAAAATTCACTCATGAACTCTAATATTGAAGGAGCTTCATCGCGGATAACGTGCTGTTATGATGGTCCTTCGCTGGGTGATCACAATAATTCATGAAAATGTTAACTACAAATTGAATTACACGCTGAAAAGTGGGGACGGGAATCCAGTGTCAAAAGAGAATCTTCAGCGGGTAATAAATCAGCGACAGACGCGATCGCTTGGGTAACAAATTTCCGAACTCGTGCGCGCATAGGCCAGGCATTATAAAAAGGACCGTAACACTGGCTCGTTACGGCGTCACGGTAGGCGATAACAGACTGGCAACGACCGCTCGTGGCCGTTAAGCCCGTTATTAATCTGCCGACTCACTGCATGCACATAACAAGGCAGAAAAATACGTCCGCAAACCACCGCGAATGCGGCGACAGTGCGACAGCCTC